CCATCAGGAATAAACTTTCAAAAGTGGTAATTAAAGCAACTTAATCCGCCAATTAAATGTGCTGGATGCATATTACTTTTTAATAATAGATCTAATCCTTTCCCTGTGCTATACCTCAATGCTGACCATCCCTTCCTAAGGCTTAAGAATAATGTCAAATTTTCTTTCATTTTTAACTCAAACTTATTGTATGCATAAAGAGTAAATAAATAAATCATGGTAGTGTACATGTAAATATCCCATATTCCCTTCTTTCCTGTATCTAATTACATTTTAAGTTGATACATCATTGTATAATGTATATCACTAAATATTTCACTGTATACACATTGCTATACATTCCTTTCTCACTGCATATATAATACCTCTAAACATCCATTTCTCATACTTTTACACTGGGTCACAAATGCACACGAGCCCTCAACCACAAGCAGCACAAACATTAATCCCTTACACTGTTCAAGGCCTTCCAAGCACCTCTATGCTGTTAAACGCAAGTATACAGGTAATACACAGTGGCTGATTATTCAAATGGTTCTGCAAAGAAGCCAGTTCATATGAAGCATTGCAAAGTAATGGAAAAAAAAGGAGGGATAGTTGGATAATATGAGGTATTGCACAACAAAAGGGTTAATATTCCAAACCATGATGCAAGTAAAAAGTAATCCTAACCTTTACAAATAAGTGTGTGCTATTTCTCACCTTCCCACAAGAACAAGAGCACCAAGAACGCCTTGCAGTCTTCTTCATGTTCCAGCTGTCAGTATCAGTAGTTGGGCCTTCAAAGTCCCCCATACCACTTTCCTCTCCTCCATCGCTACCCCCATCGACATCTGGTCTCTCACTGGGAAGCTTGAGGTGTATACTTGGAGCAATGTCCTCAATGCCCGGGGTTCGTAGGAGGCTATTCTTCCCCTCGCACTTGCCTTTCGACAAGCAACTCTCGGTCCTGCAGTCATCAACTTGCACCTCCTTACCCCCAAACTGTCTCCCCTCACCTCTATCCAGGGGAGTATTCACATTATGCCCATCATCAACACCATTATCAGCTGGACAAAATTCTTGTAAGCCCTTTTTTTTCAGCTGATCGATGAATATCTCCCCCTTGCTTTCCGCAATGCCCGCCACTGGACTCCTATCACTGGAAGAGGTAGTGGCAGAAGAACTGGACTGTTCATCTGCCTTGACATTCTGAGAGGAGCCGGATGAAAAAATTATAATGCTCGGTTTGCCTTTTGAGTCCACACAGGGGGCGACATTGTTTTCAGAGGCTGAACGGGGACGTAAAGGATATACCTCTTCATGCTTTGGCTCCTCTGAATGAGATCTATTTAGGGAAAATAAAAGTTTCATCAACACTACAACCAGCTATTTCTTAAATAATGAAGCTCTACATTACATTTTTTGTAGCTGAATTTGTAGCTAATTCCACAAATATATAATAATGAATTTATATAGCTTGATGGTGTGTGTGTGTGTGTGTGTGTGTGTGTGTGTGTGTGTGTGTGTGTGTGTGTGTGTGTGTGTGTGTGTGTGTGTGTGTGTGTGTGAGTGTGTGTGTGTGTGTGTGTGTGTGTGTGTGTGTGTGTGTGTGTGTGTGTGTGTGTGTGTGTGTGTGTGTGTGTGTATTTGATTTGTTTGCATGTTTCTAAGCAAAAAACAAATGCAGGTGCTAATACATGCAGACAAAATAACTTAACCACAGGTGGGGTACCTGAACGTTTTAAATGGTGATCTATTGTGTTTCTTAGGTGGATTAACAGATAATCTTGTAGTATCACGCCTAGTACTGCTACACGAACATTTACCTGGAAAGCAAAAAAGTAAAATCAGAAAATGCATAAAATAACAAAGTTTTCTACAAAATTTCTGAACCTATTGTATCAATTACCTAGCACCTTAACCCATTCAGCCCAGATGTCAAGAATACATGCCATGCCCACCTGTAATATTAGTTTATTAATTGTCTAGACCTAGATGACTCTATAAGTATTTAATGACCTAGAAGTCCAACCTACCTCATCTGTTTACCTTTTTCTTAATTTTTGGAAAGCTTCTTAATTATTATCTTATTGTCATTATTGTTGTTAGTAGTCTAATAAAATTATAATGATTATAAAACCAATACCAATAATAACAGTATCAGTATTACTACCATTAGAGAAAAAAACACATTTTCCTGCAAATTCAAGGAAAGGGGAAATCATTAGGGCCTACTCAGTGACTCCTTGGTGGCTGAGCACATATGGAGCCATCTGTATGTAAAAAAAAATCACAAAACACTATAGTGAACAGTACATACAACTGAGGCAAATGGGCTAATATCTTCCACACTACCTTTTAAATCATATGTGAGACATCCTAATCCTAAAATGAATAGTCATATAATCTATGTCAACTGCCTCCCCAATATCTTAAACAATGCTCAAACTTCCCAACAACATACCTTGACTAATTCTTGTCACTAAAACTCCCCTTTCACATAAAAGTACGTATTACT